CCTCAGATTGTGAGTCGAGCGCCTTATCCACCTGGCCATGCCGGGCACAAAAAATTCACTAAATAAACGTTTAAAGAAAAATAACTTATGACGGTAAATAAAGGGAAATAAGACATTGTTTTGGATTTAAGATCTTAAAGCACATGATTAATAATGGATGCAAGTAGATTAAACTAACGGATTTTATATTTGAGTGTGAAAATTTATCTCAAAAAAATAATTTCACTACTAACATCTTGAGTTACATATCCAGTAATAGGTTGATCTCAATACATAGGTGCACATGATCTTTCATACTCAATCAGAAGTTCAAGAATCATAGATGTAAAACTTTTTTAAAAATAACGTTGAGGCTCAAAAAAAAAAAAGAATAGTAAAGAGATCCATTTAAAGTTACACAAATCAATGAATATACCTGATAATACTAGACAGGGGAATGGGAATTGGTTTGAATTTCGCTCAAAGCTAAACGAGGGCTATCTGCGCTAGCCGTCCCTAATTTAGCAGTGTAAGACTAGAGGGAAGGCAGTTAGTTATCATCACCCACCATCAACTCTTGAGCTACTCTTTTACTAACGAATAGTGGGATTGATACTCACATTATAAAGCCCCAACAGCTAAAAGAGTGAGCATGTTTGGCGTGACGGGGATTCGAACCCGCCATTGTCAGACTGCGAGTCGAGGAAACCTTTATCTATCAAAGACAGTTATTAATATACCTTTTAATTACGGCTTTCCAGGTGGCTAGCTTTTACTTAAATTTAAGTACTTCTTTCAGGATTTCTGACCCCCTAAAAATATGTCCTTTCTTTATCTTTTCTGTTACTGAACTAATTACTGGTACACAGTGCTCTATCTTTCTCCTATTTTATTTACGGAAAAAAATAAATGTAACTTACTTCTAACATTTACGCTACAATTATTACATTATTATTGCTTTACCAAAACCTTTTTAACATTAAATTCAAATGTAATAAACAAACTTAAACCCTATATAACACGACATTCTACACAAATAATTTAGCATTCTGTTTAATTTTTTAAGGTTATTAGCAGCTCTATCTGCCTATAAAGAATTGCAAGGAATTACATATCCTTTGGGAATAGAACACCAAAGATAGTAATGAAAACAGAAGTTAGTTTTAAATGGAGTTCAATCAAACTGGATTAATGACACAAGTGTGGTAGCTCAAGATTCAGTGTTAAGACTTTTGATGGAGTAAATTTTCTGATGATGTTAAGGTTTTCCTTGCTGAGAAGAAGGGGGATGCTTATCAAAAGGTTTTGAATTAGTTGGTGAGTTGAGCTAATAAATGACATATGTCTTTTAATTATAATAAATTCAAGGCGATGCACGTGGGATATCGCAATTTGAATTATTTGTAAAAATTCATGGAAACATCTTTAACAGTGCTATGGAATAACAGGATCTTGATGTCCTAGTTGATCAGTTTTTTAAGCCATCCTAGTATGCTGTTGCTAATGATAAGGCAAGTAGGACTTTAGTTTGTGTCTACTGTAACGAATTTGTTGTTATGTATTTATTTTAATATCAACGTTGTTTAGATTAAGTTTATATTTAAAAACATGCATAGTTTATAGTGTTAGATATGTATTGCGAAACTCCCGCCTATTCTCCAAAGTTGTAGAAGATTCTCGAGAGTAAGAGTCAAAAGTATATGTGTGTACGTAAACGCTTTAATATGCATTGTTGCGTAATCTGAATTTTCTAGAAGATCTTCCCACGCCTATAAATCTAACCAACGCTACGCGCCAAGGAGAGTGTCTATTATTAGTTCGCTATAATCAGTGTGCTATAAACTTCGGAAGCTATAACTATTATTGTTATAACACTTATCAATCGGAAAACTTCAAATATTTGACCAGGAGCATTTACAAAGTTCGAACATTACAACTCATTTAACTTCAGTGGATTCTCATCGGACATTAGTGTTTTTACTAAAACATTACATAACGTCACCGGTGTAAAAATAAGCGTGTGATCAGTGAGAGACAAAGCTAGCTAGCTTCCCGTTAAGTAAACTATATCTCCGTCAACTAGTAATCAACTCGCTCATCGTGAACCCTCGATAAGATATCAAGGGAGTTCCAGACTAGAAAGAAGACTTTATATTGTTTGTAAGTTTGTGAAACTTTTGTTTATAAATCATTGTTTGTAATAACTATTTGTAATAACTGTTATTGTAAATTATATTGTTGTGTGTATATTAAAACATATTTGTGTTAAACAAGAAAACTGTGTGTCTCAATCTTGTAGGTAAATATCATAAACTGACTATATATCGGCTTTTACTTAACTGCTAAATCCAAAGAACAATTTAACTACTAAATTTAAAGTATCCTTTAGCTCGGTTTCAGACCATTTGAAATTCTAATACGTAACACTACAGAAATACTGAACACAAGTCTAAAGAGGTTATAATTTCATTGTATAGGTCACTTGATAGACCACATTTGGAAAGTACTCAAAGGGGCACTACAGGATGATCTTTGGGATGGAAAAGTTGTCATACGAGAATAGGTTAAGATATCCGAAGTTGTTTTTTCTTGAGAAGAAAAAGAGTTAGAAGTGATCTGATTGAGGTGTGTAAGATTGTCAAGGAAATCAATAGTGTCGACGCATCATCGTTTTTCGTACTTTTCGTGGTGATAATGGGGTGGAGGAGAGCCTAGGTGGAATAACAGTTCCCTTGGTGTTCTTAAATGTTATGTTATTATCATATGAGAAATGACTAATTCAAGCCATTTTAGCCATTCGATATCATGCCATAAAAAATTTGTCTTGTAACGAGTAATTGTAGTTTTGGAAAAAGCAGCCGTTTTTTTCGATAAGTAAAAACTTATATTAAGATATTTGGATAAATTACAGACAAAAGTACCACTATTGATCTTAATTTTTAGTTGGAAATTTTACAAGTCATTGTAACTTTAAAATATATAATCACAGATTTGTTGATAAATTTCCTGCAAATCTGTCAATGGCTATATGCGCTAGCCATCATAATTCGAAGTGATAAACTAGAGAGAAAGCAGACAGTCAACACCATCCATCGTCAACTCATGGGCTACTCTTGTCATACCGAATAGTAGAATTTGAACGTCACATTTATAACGCTTCCACGGTCCTAGAGTGTAGAGCGTTTTTTTTTTTTGCTTTTTTTTTGTGGTAACGGGACATGAAATATTCAGATCTACAGGCTGGTACGCACCCACTGGGCGCGTGCTCACTGCCAATCATCGCAGAACTGGTTATTTTGATGGATACTCTCAAATTACAATTTTAACTAAGAGACTGAATGATAAATATATTAACAATGCCAGTTATATGTTCTTACTTAGTATAAGAAAAATATAACATTTCTGTATTAAACTTTAGCTACACAGAAACTATAGGTGCTCATTGTATTCTCAAACAAATCTTCATGACTATTTCCAGCTGCAGCTTAACACTTTCCATCTCGAACTAATGCGATCAGATAGTCAATAGCTGCAGTAAATCATCATGAACAGTATCAGCTAACTACTATCTATGTTTATCAAGTAATCCTTTGCCTAAAAGTTGAGCATAAAAATGCCAACAAACAAGATAAATAAAAACTGGGAATTTAAAAACCTGCAAACGGGGATCATAAAAAAGTAAGGAAACAAAACTAGAAATACTGTAGACATCATTTACTCAAACTATAAATCCCTATTTTGACTCCACCAAACGTAATTCTACGTAACAGAATGGAGCCAAAATAGGGGTTTGTAGTTTGAGTAAATAATGTTTACTGTGTCTTCAGCCTTGTTGGCTTCCATTTTTACGACCTCTATTTGAAGGTTTTAAATTCCCATTATTTTTTTATTTATTTCTCTTGTGATATTAGACTCTCTGCTATTTAAGATTTCTATATGATTCAGAAACTGGTTGAGGAAGCTTAACCTCATTTTTGAAGAAATAACAATATCAATAAGAACTCAGTTATTTGTTCTTAAAAGTGTAAAATTGAAACGAATACTTATTATTTTTAAAAAATAACTTTTTTCAACAAGTTATACACTTGTGTGAAAGCTAACTGAAACAAAGGCGAGGCAAGTACAGTCTTTACCGGAGTTTTATGAAAGGTGTATGACAAAAGAACAAAAGTTAATTGTTATATAGTGAGACTGAATACTTGGTTTATGGTAGTCAAGGATCGACTAGTTCTCTCTTAAATGGTGTTTTTAATAAAACATAACAAACCTTTGTCCAATCTCCAGTTTTCCACTCTGGACAAGGATCCATGTTACATTCCTTTCTTGTAATTTTTCCAGAAATTTCACAGTGCCTTTCATCCAGTTTCTTTCCATCAGATCCTACACAGATGGCGCTTCTGATCTGTTCACCACTTCCACAGGTTTTTGAACACTGTAGTAATGAACGAAATAAGGCTAAGTGTGAATCCACTTTTTCACTGTAAGAAGTTGTTTCCAAACAACAATAAAGACCTGTTCATATTTATTATATTATAAAGCATTGAAACCTTATTACAACTTGTCATAGAGTAAATACCAAACGTTATGAAAAAATGAGAGATGAAATATATAAATAATTAAATGTATAAATAAGCTCAGTTTCACAATATGTAAGCAAGTGAATGTGATTTTACTTTGGGAATTACGCGAAGGAATTTGTGTTGGGGAAATTACTTGGTTTGAAAAGAAACGCCTAGGGGACAACTGAAAAAGTCTATCCAGCCAGCCAGATAATCATAATTCCTTTATTCCACACATATATTTTATTTCTGTATGAAAAATTACTTATCCTTTAAGATTAAAAATTAATGTCCATATTCAACGTACTAGTTGTGCATAGAAACTAATATGTTTACCAAGTAGTTAATCTGTAGTCTCGATACCAAACATTAGCGAAAAAATACCTAGTAAATAGTTTGAAAATTTAATGTAATATAAATAATACTAGAAAAATAATTGGAAAAATATTACTGCTCATCCTCTCGTATCTTATCTGCAATAAATCACCTGGCAATGAAACTTACAAGTGGTTAGGGTGCTAAACTGTGAATCCGAGGTTCAGAGATTTGCTCCCATTTACCACCCCCCCCAAACAAAATCGCATTCTGTACTTCAGACCGTTGATACTTTATAAGAGTGATGGTCAACTTCCACTATTAAATTATAGTAACTCATCAGTTTGCGGTGTATGATACTGAATAGCTGCCTTCCCTCTAGGCTATTACTTCAAAATTAGAGGGCCTGGCATGGTCTAATGATTAGGGCGCTCCCATCACCAAATATGTTTGCCCTTCTAGCTGTTAGGAATGTATAATGTGACGGTCAGTACCACTATTTGATTAGAGTAGCCCAAGTCTCAACAGCTGGTGGTGGATCGTTTTGATTAGCTGCCTTTCTTTTAGTCCATCACTTCTAAATTAGGGACATCTAGCGCATATAGCCCTCAAGTAGCTTAGCACAAAATTCAACAAACAACAAATAGTTCTACTACAACTAATAGGATACCTGTTTTGATGGCCCTGCTGTGCAAACATACCTTAACAACGTTAAATTAGCACATTTCCTCACCCAGCCTCATCCAACCCCATACGGTTCAGCGATAGCTTTTATACGGCTGCAACAAGCTATGAGTAAACTCATGATGAGAAAGGTGAAGAGCAAACCAACATCATCGAGCTCAATCCCTACCTGTAAGCCTAGCTTAGGTGGCCACAGTGTAACACTATCATCTACAAAACTAATTTCCCTCATTTGTACAATTAAGAAAGAGATATCTGGATCTAACACACAATCAACTCCTGTTCTGTTATCTACTGAAAATATAGCTAATGTAAGAGCCGCAGGTATAAGAAGCCTGGATAAAGATCCAGG